AGATGTGTAGGGGGGGGGGGGCCTGGGCCGGCCCCCCCCCCTAAATCCGCCCCTGCCGACCTCCAAGGTTCCCATTTATACTCCTGAGTGAATCTATATTTGTTTCTCTGTGTATAAATTGGTACGTGTATAATGCTGGGAAGGTAAATCATATTCCTTGTCAGAGAGGAGTGGTAAACCACCATAGCATCATCATTTACTTCCTAGAATGCATTAGCTCCTGGGGGTTTACATGCTAGAATACCTTAGCCTTGGTGGGGGTTTTTTATTTTCTCCTCCATCTGGGTGTTTTTGGCAAAACTATTTGCTAAATAAGAAAACAAAATTTTATTTTTATTCCACCCTCCTCCGATGATCTTTAAAAAAATAAGTACGCAAAACAAGGAATAAAAAAAGTCTCGCCTTATGCACCGAGAAACAGAGGATAAATTGTATGAAAAAATGTCCACAATTAAGCTAACAAGAATATTATTTTCGTGTTGTCAAAATCTACAGCAGGATAGGCCTAGCCTACAACAGTGTTGTTTGGCTGGACAGGATTCACTTCACTCACGACATGCCCCTAGGCCTAGCACTACGTTATGTTTGACTCCTCCTAGCTAGCGCAAGGACTAGGCCTAGCTAGGCCTGCCCTAAAATACCAGTGAGTGGAACAGGTCTTTCGTTGCTAAAAGCCTAACATAGGTATTGTTACGTACTTAAAAATAATAATTCCAAACTATCTGCTAATTGACGTTAAATAAAACACACACATGTACAAAAGACCAACCAGAAAATTCACTAAAAACGCTTTTGTCGGCGGCAATGTTTTGAGTGAAGTGCGAGTGCGCCCCCTACATCAGAATACTACCTAGATCATCCCTAGGCCCTCTCTCGGTCGTGTAAAAAAACAAAAAGAAGAGCGGAACAGCCGGGCAGATCAGTTTGTTTATGTGGTGCTGTTGTTTTCTATCGTATTTTTATTCGTAAAAGGTGTCTGTAATATAATTTATGCGTCAGAGTTTTTGAGACTATATTCCTTATATTTAAAAGTACAGTTTATATGTATAAGATACCTGATAAATTCAGCAGGACTGTAATAATCTAAGGCAGCGTAGGCTAGGCTAGTAGGGCCGAATACAGCACCGCCAGTTCCAGTCGACTCTAGACAAGGCTAGGCCTAGTCCTCCACTGGCACTGAACATAGGATAGGTCGCCTACTACTAGGACTAGGCCTAGGTCAAGTAGTAATATTTAGCTAGCCTACTTCCCTAAATTCAGTATACATACTAGCCCCCTATATAGGCTTAGGCCTACTCCTGTCCCAAACTGTATGTAAAGTATTTCATTTGCACGGAGGATAAAAAACCAATGCAAATTTGTGCAGAAAGTCGCTAGGAAAGAAGGTGCGCAGCACCATAACTACTGCTTAATACATTGGTTTTAATTGTATACATTGCAAAAAGTGTGTGGAAATTGTCCCTTATTCTTCTGAAATGCGCGAATCAAATTCTAGACCTAATTTTATATTTTTGCGTGGGGGATAAAGCCTTATTTTAGTCTGGATCATATCTAGCCCAGCCTTGGTAGAAGGCATTCATTTAATTGAAGAAAAAAATACCATTGTATATATGTAGGCCTAGAGACATTGCGCATTTCACCTGG